TCTCTCTTTCTCTCTCTTCTTTCTTTCTTTCTTTCTCTCTGTTTATCCCTCTTTTTTTGCTTTAATTAATGTTTAATGTAGGATAATATTCTTTTTTACGCGTCATTTGGGTAATCTGTACAGGGACTTGGAGAGTTGGAGGAGTACTTGCAGTTTCTCGTGCATTTGGTGATAGACTTTTGAAGCAATATGTGGTTGCCGATCCTGAGATTCAGGTGTGTAAAAACCGAGACTCACTCGTTTTAAGAAAGCAGTTCAAAATAATGAGAAAATGCTTGTCTATTATATCTTCACAAATTGGACATTCTTTAATATAAGTAGGATTGCTAGAGTGGCAGCATATCCATATCATGAATCAGTCACTAGTCTTGACTCAGACTAAATACACCTTGGATCTGCTGCTTACTCGCACTCATATGCAAGACTCCAAGCCGTGTCCCACACCCCTTGTATGCATTTGTGACCCGCCGATTAGCATTTTTCAGCTGAAGTAGGATTTTCTTGCAGAAATTAATCGTGGATATACTGATGTGGTTTTTGAAGTGCATCTTTGTGTATGTGCAGTTATAGTTCGATAGAATCATATTTTGTTTAATATTACGATTTTGTTTTTATTTCCGTTTTCATCTGCATTCATAATCTAAATAATTTTACTGTTCCTCACCATGCAGGAGGAAAAAGTTGACGACACGCTCGAGTTTCTTATCCTTGCAAGTGACGGACTTTGGGATGTGGTTACAAATGAGGTACTACATTTTGGGTTGAATTCAATAGGCTAAATTGCATTTTTAGTCCTACTGGCTTAACGCCATAGCAGTTTTAGTCCTAAGATTCTAACATTTCGCCTTTTGGTCCTGTAATTTAATCAAAAATATTTTGATGCAATTTCAGTCATATTGCAACATATTCCCAATTTATATATTTGGGATGAATTTTGATTAGCAATTTAAGTCTTGTAGTTAAACTTTTGGTGCAATTTCAGTCATGTAATTTAAAATTTTGCTGCAATTTCCTAAAAGCAAAATATTAAATCACAAGACAAACAGGCGAAAAGTTGGAATGTTGGGACCGAAACTATGGCGTTAAACCAATAGGACTAAAAATGCATTTTTGCTAATTCAATATTTGTGAAAAGTTGGAATGTTAGTTCAAATTTCGAGAGAAACTCCATTTTTTTTCCCGAATTATTACTACACCCTTGGAATCTATATTTATTTTGATAAATTGCTCCAAGATCATGAAAAAGCTCGACCCAATATTAGAACCTTTTCACACAATACATCTTGAAATTTTCTATAATAAATTTCACCTTTCAAATTTAAACATTTTTCTCGTTTATAGGAAGCCGTGTCCATGACTAGGCCGATTTCAGATCCGGAGGAAGCTGCAAAGAGGTTGATGCAAGAAGCACATCAAAGGGGCAGTGGTGATAATATTACGGTTGTTATTGTCCGGTTTTTGGGCGAGCAAGAAAACGTGGGTCCCTCTTCTAATACTACTGCTAATAGCTCTGGTTAAAAGGGCGTGATTGTCTTTTTCTCTTCTAGTCTCACGCCCAAAAAGTTCGATACGAAAATGGAACAAAATATAGTAGGAAGGTTCCAAGGTGGCAGTTTATTTGATTAAAATGTTGTAAATACTAAATACTTATGTTTGTGTTGGTTGCTAAAGATATTTTGAGTTGAACAGTTGAACTTTGTGTTTGTTTAGTGTTAAGTGTTGATTACAACCTGGTAAAATGTGAGCAAATACTATAGATTTTTATGTGATATGCAATGTGAGATTGTTTATTGTTTGTGTCTGATTGATTCTTCACAATTTTATTTTATTTTTATTTTATTTTTTTATTTTTTTTGTAATGTTCTATGGTGAAGCAGAGGATTTTTTGGTGTAACTATGTTAAATTTGTTCATTGAACTTGGATTTGGATAATGAATTCATCTCAATAAATTTTAGGTGCAATTGTGTGCTTTTAACTGTTTATAAGCAAAAGACTAAAGTTTTTGTCTTTGGCTGTATTCAAAACCATTCATACTATATAACCTGCACACAACTGCAGAAAAACACATAATGACATAAAAACAACAAATAGCAAAATCTGTTCGAGTGGCTTAAAATGTACCCGATAACGATCACATCAACTTCAATTCCAAGAAGAAAAAAGAAAAACTTAATTCCAAGAATTCGACACATTCATTTCAGAAAGGAAGAAAAATGACATTGCAATCAGAGTTGAGTTCAAAACAATTAGCCAAGTTCTCCACAAGTACATTATATGAAATGTTTGTTTGAAATTTTCTTCCTAAATGTAGTCTTAAAACCTAGAGACTGCCGCCCCTGAGAGCAAGAACCAGGTGAAGAACCGAGCCACCTTCGATATTGTAGTCTTTGGCCGTTTTGTCATCTGCAAGCTGCTTACCAGCATAAATTAGCCTATCAAACAAGAAGAAAAGGAAAGAAAAAAAAAAATGGTCATTTCAGTCTTAAAATACTCGATATAGGGAATCAAAGTTTTATAAAACACACAAGATGGAAATTGGAAGCTTTGAACAAACAGAATAACATAAACAGAATGCATAGAATATATATAGATTTTCTAGTCAATAGATATACAGCACAAACCAATTAATTATCGAAAAAGGAATCATCAAGAAGCACAACCACTTAACTAGAAAAAAAAAAAGTAAGAGAATGAATAGTGAAGAGATGGGGAAGAGAGATAAACCTTTGCTGCACAGGAGGAATGCCTTCTTTCTCCTCAACGCGTTCCTTGATCCGGTCGATTGTATCAGTTGGCTCAATATCAATCTCGATTTCTTTTCCTGTAAGTGTTTTCACTTTGATCATTGTTCCTCCCCTGAGCCTCAGAACAAGGTGAAGTGTTGATTCCTTTTGGATATTGTAATCTGCCAGAGTTCGGCCATCTTCCAGCTGTTTTCCGGCGAATATCAGCCTCTGCTGATCGGGAGGTATACCTTCTTTGTCCTGAGTACATAAATTGTAAAAAAACAAAAAAACAAAAGGAAAAAAGAAAAAAAAAGGTAAGTTTGAAAATATTGCAGCAATCAAGATACATAACAATTAACATATCCTGCAAAATGATCGTTTTAACAGACCACAAGCAAATTCATTGACGGAAGCAATTTGCAAGAAAGTAATATAACACAACAGATGCTTAAACGAACAACACGGGATAATGCAATTGCACACAGAACAAGACCTAACATCTCAAGAACCTAGGAGAAATATCATTAATCACTTTCCATTAGCACAAAACTATTCAAGAGCCACTCAAGAACGAGCAAATCAACAACATGCCCGTTACAAAAATTCCAAAACCCTAATTCCATCCAATAACTGCAATCAAATGGGATACCGCAATTTCACAAAGCACACCTAACACCTCAAGAGACTCGTGATTATTAGCACTATCCATTAGGGCTACAGAAGAGGATCCACGCGATGCTAACAAGGCCAAACATATTTTCAACTGAAACCACTCCAATTCCAATGGAAATTAATCAAGAGCAAGCAAATCAACAAACCCATTAATTTTTTTTTTTTTTTTTTCAAAACCCTAGTTCAATCAACTCCCACAAATCAATAATGGCAGCCCAAAAGGTACAATCCACAGCTTGCGAACATGGTACAATCCAATCCACCAACACAATCGATGAAAACCAGAGCAAAATCACGTTACATTCAAACCCCAACCTTTCAAGACGATTATAACTGAACCAAAATAAAAAGACGGGATAAAGTCTAGAAACTGACCTGAATCTTGGCCTTGACATTATCGATGGTGTCACTGCTCTCGACGTCGAGCGTGATCGTTTTTCCGGTGAGGGTTTTCACGAAAATCTGCATTGTTTATCCCGACCGCTCAACTGCTACGTAGGTTTCTGAAAATTCTTGGCTCGCAAAATGCCTTTGGGGGCGGCGGTATTTATTATATGGGTCGGAGACATCCGCCATTATCGTTTTCTTGTTATTGGGCTGTCTTGAGTTATGGACCCTACACTTTATTCTCCAATTGGATGAGCCGATCCATTTTTCTTCAAATTCTTATTTTTTTAATCGTTGTGTCTGATGAGCCGCTTGTCGGCTCGATTCGGCTTGTTTAATTAATTGGCCGAGCTCGAACTTATTTGAAGTTCGTCTAGTTAACGAACCAAACTAAGAAGGCTCGAGATGATGAATTTATGTAATTTTCTATACATCAATTTGTTAAGACTCGAGTTGGGCTCGTTAATGTTAATAAACGAGCCGAACATGTAATATCCCAAGATATTATCAATATAAATTCCGTTAAATTCCGATATAGTAACGTTATCGTTTATTATTTTCGGAATTAATTAAGTTCAGTCGGATTACCGAAATCTATTTTCGGCGTACCGTTTACGTCCGAAATAATTTTGGTAATTAAGTATTATGTTTAATTTAACAATTAAACATCATTTGAGTGATTAATTGGGATTAATCACATTAATTAGCCTCAAAACCCTAATAAGCCGTGGGAATTAAGAAGAATTCTTCCAAAAATTTGCCTAAGTACCGTGGGCTTTTCTTAAGCCTTAAGAATAGTTTCAACCAATAAGATCTTGTAACTTGTCAAGCTTATAAGTTGCTTAGTCATTCTACCATAGCATAAGAAATGAACAAGTGTTAAAGGGGGGGAGAAGCCACGCCATGGCCACCTCGGCACATCACCCCTCACGGCCCTCTATATAAGCATATATTTGGACCAAATTTTCCACCATTTTTCCCCTATAAGTTTCAGCATCCCCTCAGTACCTTCAGATCTCTTCTCTCAGCAACCAAAGCTAAGTATATTTCCCCAAAACTTCGACGCAATCGCACGACACTACAAGTAGTTACCGCACGGCGAGTTCAAGGCGAGAAGCACGCGTTGTTTTCTGAATTCCGTCGAGCAATTGAAGAGGTATTGCTCTTCTCAGTCTCTATTCTTGATGATTAAGTTAATTTAGAGTTAAGTGTTCGGGTAAATTGTCGGAATTTTGATTAAAACCGCACCTAAGTCCATATATATCTAAGTAAGATTATCGCCGAACAAAGTTTGATTTCCCTCGGCAACTTTCGAACAATAATCATTTATATGATCAGTTTAGTTGTTTTAAGTTCAGCATGATCTGTTTTGTTGCAGTAAAGTGAAGAATGGTCGATGACAAGGCCCCAGCCGACGCCCTTGCGCATACCGCGCGTAGTCTTGGGTAGTCTTGGGCCGAGACCTGTTAGTTCAGCA